GGTCTAGGGTTTAGGGTTTAGGGTTTAGGGTTTAGGGTTTAGGGTTTAGGGTTTCTGCGGCCTGCAGGTAGGCCCTCTTACTTGCTGGAGACGACCAGCGAGCGCTCCCTCATCTACGGGCTGCTAAACCCTATAGTACTTCTTGCTTTCTACAAGTAAACCCTAAACCCTAAACCCTAAACCCTTTGGCAGCAGCCGCTGTCTCTAGCCCTAAGAAGTCGCTTGTGTATCCCGAACCCTAAACCCTAAACCCTAAACCCTGCTGCAGGCGGGAAACGGAAGGTCTGGTAGTAGTGGGAAGATTTTGGTTGGGCTTTTAAGGCTAGGGTTTAGGGTTTAGGGCTTGGGTTTTAGGGTTTAGGGTTTAGGGTTTAGGCTTTTGAACTTTGGCTCTGTACAGGTTTGTGGAAGAACACCGCCTGCAGCAGCTGACAGCGATGAAACCCATTAAGAAGTACGCAGCAGCAGCAGCAGCAACTGCAGCAGCAGCAGCAACTGCAGCAGCAGCTGCTGATGCTGCTGCTGCAGCTAAAATGGCAGCATCAGCAGCCGGATTAGCAGCAGCAGCAGCAGCAGCGCATCACTGCAGTGGCTTGCGTGTCTACTATTAGTAATTCGAGGCTCTGGATTTCGAAACCTCGAGTTAGGGTTTAGGGTTTAGGGTTTAGGGTTTAGGGTTTGTTGCTGCTGCAGGGGAGAATCGTCAGTGCTGAAGCCCCAGGCCCGCGGAGAGTATATATACTTGCTGCACACTTTGGCTTCCTTTGCCTACTCAAAGCCATTCCTGTCCAAAGTAAACCCCAAACCCTAAACCCTAAACCCTCATTTGTGTTTCAGCGTCCCTGCAGTACGCCGCACTGCCCCTGAAGTCCCGTTCCCTTCTCCTGCCCGCAGCTCCTCCTCCGCGTGCAGGCTTTCCCCCAGAACTTAGGGTTTAGGGTTCAGGGTTTGGGTCTAGGGTTTAGGGTTTAGGGTTTAGGGTTTAGGGTTTGCGGGTAGGCGAAACGCTCGTTTTTCGAGCGGCGGCTGGTGCAGCCCTGCGCATGCGTTCTTTCCTTCTTTGAAGTTCCCCCGGAGGCTCTGGGGGTGCAGCAGCTGCTGCGGCCTGGGGGGCAGCTAGCTAGCCAGCTAGCTAGCCAGCTAGCTAGCCAGCAGCTAGCTAGCCAGCTAGCTAGCCAGCTAGCTAGCCAGCTAGCCAGCCCGCCGGCCCCTCGCTGGCGGCGCATGCGCCGCGCCAGCGAGGTGAGCGACTCTTTCGAGGACAGCAGCAGCGAGCAGCAGCAGCAGCAGCAGCAGCAGCACTGCCGCAGGAGGACCCGCAAGCAAAGGAGGCGCTCTAGAAGCGACAAATACAGGAAGCAGCAGCAGCAGCAGCGGCAGCGCAGCGGCTCGCCCTGCGAGCAGCAGCTCCGGGCAGCAGCAGCAGCAGCAGCAAGCCGCGGCAGGAGAGACGCAGCAGCAGACGAGCAGCAGCTGACTTGGGATGTTGCTGCTGCTGCTCTTTCAAGGGGCAGCAGCAGCAGCAAAGCTGCATGCAGCAAATTCTTAACTGCAGCAGCAGACTGGCTCCTCGAGCTGCTGCTGCCCCTGTGGGAGGACTTCAGGGGATCGACGCTCGTAAGCGCTTAGGGTTTAGGGTTTAGGGTTTAGGGTTTAGCGCTTAGGGTTTAGGGTCTAGGGTTTAGGGTTTAGGGTTTAGGGTTTAGGGTTTAAAGACTGCAGCGCGGCTATTGTCGGCCTCTCTCTTTCAGTCTGCCTTTTCATTTTTAATTAGTTATTTTTAGTTATTTATTTTTAGTTAATTTGTTTTAATTAATTATTTTAAATTAATTATTTTTAATTGATTAATCTAATTTAATTAAAAAAAGTATCCGTTGCCTCGTTTGCTGCTACAATGAATTATTATTCTTCAGTTGCTTATTTCTCATCTTTTATCAATATTTATGGTGAAGAATTGAATGTTTATTATTGTTCATTATTTATTATTATTATTATTATTATTATT